AATGTGTGAATGGATAAATGTGCTTCAAAAAAATATTTGGAAACTAGTTGCATTACTTGCAGGGAAGAAGTTAATTGGGTATAAATGGGTGTTTACTGTGAAACATAATACTAATGACTCAGCTGAAAGATACAAGGCTAGATTATTGGCCGAGGGCTTTACACAAATCTATATGATTGATTATCAGGAAAGATGAATTTTATGGCAAAGATGAATTTTATTTGTGTCTTACTTTCGCCGGTTGCAAATTGAGGTTGGCCTTTTCAACAGCTTGATGTGAAAAAGTTTGTTTCACTATTTCTACATGGAGACTTGGAGGATAAAGTGTATAAGGATGTTCAACCTAACTTTGAACTTACTAGTTACCATGGATAGTAGTTAGGTATGTAGACTAAAAAAATCATTGTATAGGTTGAAGCAGTCTTCAAGAGCATGGTTTGAGAGATTCACCCAAGTTATGTTGAGGTATGGTTATCATCAGAATCATGGTGATCATTTTTTGTTTGTTAATCATTCTTCCCAAGGAAGAGTAACTGCCCTCATCTTGTATGTTGATGCTATTGTTTTTACTGGCAATGATGTAGAGAAGATGGTGAAATTAACGGCATATTTGGTTCAAGAATTCGAGATAGAAGATTTGGAAGGTTTGAACTCTTTCTTGGGGATTGACGTTGCGAGATCTAGAAGGGGTATATTCATTTCACAACGAAAATATGTGCTTGATTTACTTAAGAAGTCAACTATGATAGGGTGCAAGTATGTTGATACTTCAATTGAGTAGAATCGTAGGTTGGGAGAAAGTGTTGATGGTGCTCATGTAGATAATGGTCGATACCAGAGGCTGGTGGGCATGCTCATTTCTCTGTCTCATAGTCTAGATGTAGCCTATACAATCATTGTGGTCAATCAATATACGCACTCACCTCGCGAGTCTCATATGGAGGCAGTTCATTGAATTTTGAGGTACCTTAAACTAACACCTGGTAAATGACTAATCTAAAAGTGGAAGCCTATTCAAATGTTGATTAGGTTGGATTGGTTACGGACAAAATATTAACATTTGGATATTGTACATTTGTGGGAGGAAATTTGGTATTATGGTGTAGCAAAAAAAAGTCGATTGTGGCCAAATCTAGTGCAGAGGCAAAATTTAGAGCTATGGCCCATGGTATTTGTGAATTGTTGTCGTTGAAATTCGTATTAAAGGAACTTGATTTTAATACTAAGGAACTGATGAGATTATACTGTGATAATAAGGCAGCAATTAGCATTGCTTATAATCCAGTTCAGCATGTCAGAACCAAGCATGTGGAGGTCGATAGATATTTCATAAAGGAAAAATTGAGTGCGGGCTTAATTTACACTCCATTTCTGAAGACAGAGATCAACTTGTAGATATCTTGCAGGAGTATCTTGTAAAGTGTTTCTTTCAATCCTTGGTAAGCTGTGGAGGTGTGATATCTTTGTACCAACTTGAAGGGGAATGTTAGAAGCTCTTTAGTATTTTTATCTTTATTGTTATGAAGAGTACTTTTTGCAGTTTAATATTTCGACCTATACATATAAGTGACAGAGGGAGAGAAACTCTTTATCTTTTTCTCAACCGTCTTTCTTTTATTTCTTTTTCTCTTCTCTTCTTTATTTCTTCTCTCTAATTCAACTCCTTGACTTTCTCACCTACTTGTGCAAATTACTGTCCAAAATGAATTTCCGCTAAACAGGGGCAGAGCTGGGATTTCGCATTAGAGGGGGGGCAAACTATTACAAAAAAAAAATTTCACTAGTTTATACAAAACATTTCCAAGCATGAAAAAATATTTTAGGATTCAACATTAGATTACTCTTAAAACAGAAAACTAGTTTCCATTTAACTTAAAGAAATATGAACAAAAAACCATAAAATAACTTATGGTATTACATTTCAACTCAATCACATGCTAAAGTAGAAATCGATGTTTTTTCAATCTCAAAATTCATCTATAATGTATTGATGATAAACTAAATTTTTTGAAATTTCTCTTCAATGTACAAAACCACATTATCCGTAACAAAATCATTATTCATCTTATATTGCGAAAGCTAGTTGAAATCATCATTTATTTTGTTGATTTACTCAATCCAGAAACTAAAGCATTAATTTTTTTTTTTTTTTGGGGGGGGGAGGATGGGCCACTAACTTGTCAAAAATTAAAAATAACTTAGGACCATTGTAAGTTAGGGCCACCCTCCTCACTATGTGGCTCCGCCCTTGCTGGTAAATAACATTACCTTTTTCACCTCCCAAACCTAAGTATTGCCATTTTGGAGTTGGCACTCTGCAAGAGAGTAGCAGTCGAAAGGTACATGAGTTTGACCGTATGTCAGATCGTCTTGCTGCTCTGAGCATCCTTAGGACTCCTCCTTTGAACCATATCATGAATATTTGTTGTATTTGAGGTTAACTAACTATGCTTAGGTCATAGTGTTTGGAGGCACCTACAGGCTCCAGCTTTCTTGGCAACTTAGAAGAACTCAACATTTTGGGTACCAAGAAAGCGAGAAGCTGTAGAATGAAGAACTAAATAGAACGCTTGCCTAAGGCTGAATGATCCAGACTGAGTCAAACCAAGAATAAAAGCGTTGATCACTCTAGTGGACTCGAGAGCATATGGAAGGTTGTTGTCCCTGGAAAGCTCGTAATGTCACATGAATCTAACATAAGCAATGGCATCATCTTGCCAAGCAACATTCTCGATGGTGATCATCCTAGGCAAGTGTATGTTAGAAGGTAAAAAGGAGGGAGAATATCATATTCGCTTAATGGAGCTAATGCTATTCATTTTTACTGAAAAAGGTATATTGGTCATTTTGTCAGTTAGGATTATTTTAGTATTCTGATTTCGTGTCCAGATTAGTCACTTATTTTGCTAGTGTCCAAACACTTGCTATTCTCTTACTGTCCAATATCCCAGCAACCATATCTTTCAGTTTCATACAGCCTCAAATCTTATCCTAAACAAGCCCAAATCTATCTTTAAACCCTAGACTCATCTTCTCCATCACACCCTAATATGCAGAACTAGATCCCAACACTATCTGATCGGTGGGCAGTGCTATTGCTTTGATCAAGGTTCTGTCCTACATCAATCCCTGATTTGGACTAGACCATTATCCACACCGTATCTAGAACAAGAGGAATAGAGACCCTCGAGATACATGCGTGGACAATCATATTCTCCTCATTTGCTGGTTTTTGTTCCAGCCTCGGCCTTGGGGTATGAATTTGCTTTCAGTTATTGAGTTTCAATGGGAGTCCTTCTCTCTTAGGATTTTTGCAACCACTTTCAATTTTGAGCTGTGATATTTTCATGTCTGACTTGGCAATTCAGTGCCAACTTTATCCTCCATACACAAGTGTGCCAGTTAACCATCTCATCCTTTTTCTTACCAATGGTGTCAAATATGACGGAGCACCATTATTGATGTATAACATGACCACAATGATGCAGTTCACTATTTCTGAGACATTGGGCTGTTATTTTTGCAGTTAACTTTTGGTGAAATTGGGAATTCGTATGGGGCAAAATGTGGATTCCACCTTCGAATTTGAAATTTTAGGGTGGAGAACTATTTTCAAAAGAATGGTTTGATTAGAATCCTCTCTTCGAACAAAATTTTAAACAGCTTGGAACTGCAGTGCATGCTTAGAAGTTTTAATGGTAAATTACATTGACACCCCTTGTGGATTCAAACAATTATAGGGACACCCTTTCTTGTTTTTGACTACACTGCCACTCCTTTTGGTTTAATTATCGATTATAGACTTCCCTTTATGTTAGTTAGTGGTGGTGTCTAAGTGTATGTCAATGGCTAACTAAACTAAACTAAACGAGAGGGATTATTAAGTGTCTCCCACTTCCAAAGAGACAATAGCTTCCAAGTCGTGCACTTCTTCAAAACTCAGGAAGGCACACACAGTTCAAAAGCGTGCGCTCATGCTTCCCCAGTTTTCAGTTCTTCATCTTCCTGGAGTTGTTTTTCTTGCTTTCTCGAGTCTAGATACCTGCATGATAGTTTACCTTCGCTGGACCCGCTCTTATTGGCCAGACCTTGGTGGCTGAGTATTGTAGTTGGCATGGTAGCTGGGTTGACCCTTAACCTGCTCGAAGGCTTATATCCCCCTTTTTATTTTGTTGACATCATCTCATGCTATTTTGTCAGAATTTCACATGTTTAATTGAACAAACTTATACACAGAGGCGCATGGATATCTATGTATATAAATGTATTTATTTCTATTGGGTCACTAATCTTGATGAAGAATCCAACTTGTTCAGTGAGGACGACGATGTCGTTTCTTCTCGAAATTGTGTAGTTAGATCGGAAAAAATGGTTTTTGGTGTGGAATTGAGAATCTAGACCTACTCTTGTTCTGGGGGTGTTGATGGACCAATGTGTGCTGGAGATGGGCCAAAGGTTTGGATGCTGAAGGTGAATTTGGTGTGACGAGGGTGGTTATGCGATGGTGATTATAATTGGCTATTCTTTTCAAAGAATGAGGAGAGAAGAAATTTGACCTAGAGGAGGTAAAATATAGTTCTCAATAGCTAACAAGAGTGCAAAAGTCAGTTTACCGATTCCTTTACTAGATGTACTCAAAAAACTAACAATGGATGGTAATGTGATTTCTGTTAAGAGCAAGGGGTGTCCCTGAAATCCCAAGGGGTGTCGGTTTTGTCTCATGGCTCCTTCTCACCTGGTATGCTCCAGTCAAGTTAGTGTACATCACTTGGTGAAAATTCAATGACTGTGTCATTTATGGTCACCCATGTTTCTTCTGGAAGTTGCTTGGAATCTACTTCGTATGTTTGCATCATATCGTTGTATTGCTTACATTTCCACATTGACAATGTTTTATTTTCCCCGCTTTATCTTTTATTTCAAGGAAATATCCTAGACAATGAAGGAGCAATGTAAGACTCACTTTATATTCTTGTTTTCAGGGATACTCCTCATTAGCTATGGCTTTAGTCCTCCCAGAAAGAGGTTGTTTAGTTGCTTGCGAAAAAGACGCAACATCTCTTGATGTAGCAAAAAGGTATTATGAGCGAGCTGGTGTTTCACACAAGGTGATTAGTATCTTTTTGCTATAAGTAGTGTAGGAGAGCTTATTTTTCAAAATTGGAGACTGGGCTATGCTGTTTCTGAACATCTATCTATCGTTCACTAAATGCTTTGTAGTAAACAAGCTTCCACACAACTGTGAAAACTATTTATTGCATATTGGTTGCCACTTGCCATCATTTGTTTCTATCACGCCTTTTGGAAATAAGGCAATTGCTTTAAGTAAGCTTATAAAAGAAAGAAACAAAGAAACTGTGCAAATAGAGGAAGGATGAGGAATCCTACATATGTGAGAACCTGCAACCATCCATACAGAAGAAATGAAGCCCCTAATTTTTTTTTGCCCCACTATAGATCGCTATGCCCTTTTCCGCACTAAGTTGTAGTATAGAAATGGAGTGCAAGTCTATGTTAATGATTCTATTATATGTATTCCTCTGACACAATTGTTTTGCATTAGGTGGACGTGAGACATGGACTAGCAGCAGATACTTTAAGATCTATGATTCAAAATGGGGAAGCTTGCAGGTATTTTCCATATTTTATGTAGTTATTGGTGTTCAAACCATAATGGAATAGCTCCTTGTATCCATGCCTTAAATATTGATCTCAGTTTTAAGGGGTAGATGAAAACATTGAATCGGACTAGCCTCAAGGCCAGTCTACTACCTAATCGACTAACTTGGTAGTCAGATGAAAGTGCTCATACTCTTACTTTTCATCATCAAAAATAGCCAAGACCCAGTTATTGTGTTAATATAGATTCCTTGATAAGTTAACACGCCTTTTTATCAATTCTGGATGACATTCTGGGTTTGTGGGTTGGAGTATGTGCAATTGTTATGCTATATACATTGCACGTTATCAGTTTTGTTATTCTGCTACCTTTTCTTCTTATAGTGAATAGTTTCATTGACTAACCCTTGCCGTAGATGCTCGCACATTAATTTCTGTAGCATCATCTGTGTCAGGTATCTAATGATTGGAATTCATTCACCATATATCTCCTCGTTTGTGCAGATATGATTTTGCATTTGTTGATGCTGAGAAGAGAATGTATCAGCAATACTTTGAATTGCTCCTACAATTGGTTAGCAAATAATCACAAGCAGCCAAAATGCACATTTCATCGTGCACTTTGAGGATGTACTAATTTTGTAGTCTCAATTGTGCAGGTGAGGGTTGGAGGTGTGATTGTGCTGGATAATGTGCTCTGGCATGGAAAAGTTGCGGATCCACTGGTAAACAAAATAGGCCAAACTTCTTTGAATCCCATTGGTTTGTCCTTGAAGCACTTCACCCCCTTATCCTTTAAAAATAAGCGACCTTTTTGTTTTTGAAAAAAATTAACAACTATCACTGTTAATGACGGTAACAAAAAAAACTTAATGCCCTCCCACACCAATGTGCACCACCGCCACCCCAACCCACTGCTCATCAAACTAACAAATGCCATCATCTCCAGTCATTACCCATCCCCACCATTGTGCACCACCAGACCTAATTCATCAAACCAGCAAATTCAAACCAATTCAACCCTCCAACTACCTCTCACAAGAGAGAGAGTTTCAGACTAAGAAAATAAAATTCAGGGTAAATTACATCCATCTTCCCTGAGATTTAGTAAAATATCAACTGGACCCCTCTTGTATGGGAAATAACGTTGACCTCCCCTGTTAGTTACTTCATTTTCTTTTTGTCTAACAAAAATAGGAAAGTGTATGTATTGCACTTGATTCAAAAATTCTACTTTGTTAGGTAAGTTAATTTTGTCCTTAAACCCATTCAAAATCTAATGATTCTGTTAATTAAATTATATTTATCTTAAATTTAGATCAAATCTAATCAATTCAATTAATTAAGCTAAATTTACCCTAAAATTCAAATCAATTCCGTTAATATAGTTAATTTTTGTACCCAAAATTCAAACTTTAATTTAGAGACAAAATTAATTACATAATAAAATATTCAATTTCAATAGGTAATCACACAAACATACAATTAATAGGTGTTTGTTTGGAAACTAATAATATGAATATGGTATGTTTGGCAATGGGTTTACCTTTACAATCTAAATAAAAATAATGTTGACATTTATAAAATTAGGTTGCTTACATCATCAAATTATAGACGTCCCTCTAACAGCACATTAACGGTCTGGGGAATATGTTATAGACAACTATAGCAGAAGGAGATCAGTGTTATTTGTTAAAAAAAGAGGGTTCAATTGTTATTTGACCAAACCTCTAGGGAGGTGAATGTAATTTACCATAAAATTTAATATTAGAAATCAAAATCAAAATTGAAATTCAAAAACTAGAATCAAAATAAAAAAATAATCAAAACCCGAGCAATGAAGTGCGTTTAATAGTGCTAAACCATATGATTTGTTTCCGGATAAATTGCTACTTTGCTTCACTTTCAATTAATCTAATTTTGATGGTGCTAAACAATATGATTTGTTTCTGGATAAAAAGCAGGGCAAAAGCAATTGAACTGAATTCTTGGAAAATGGTGGGCTTAGTACGATAGTTCAACCGGTTTCTATTGGAATGATAGAACTCTTGAAAATAAGTTGGGGATTCAATAAGTTGAGACCTCCATGTACTGTTGTAGGGACTGCCATAAGTGGAGGAGATAGGTTTTTTGGTGGTGGTTGTGGTTTGGTTTTTTTTTTTTTTTTTTAGGGGGGGGGGGGGG